GGGACAGAGTCCCTCTGTCAGCATGAACAACATGGGTGAAAGCTGAAAGGAAGCCCATGATGGGAAAACAAGTCTGCTGGATGTCAAAACCAAATTAAGAATTAGCTTCTGGAATGTAAGAACTATGTTTGAAACGGCTAAAACCGCCAAGTAATTAAAGAAATGCAGAACTATAAACTGCATATTCTTGGAATTAGTGAAAGCAGGTGGACAGGGTTTGGACAATCCACAACAGGTACAGGAGAAACCATAATATACTCTGGAAGAGATGATAACCTACATTCTGCAGGCATGGCACTTATTTTAAAGAAAAGTATACACAAAGATCTCATCGAGTGGCATCCAATCAATGAAAGAATAATGACAGCATGATTTAATGGCAAACATGCCAAACTTACAGTCTTCCAATGCTACGCACCGACTAATGAAGCTGAAGATGAAGATAAAGAAACATTCTATAGGAGACTGCAAGAGGTAGTAGATAAAGTACCAGCCCATGATATTCTATGCATTATGGGAGATCTCAATGCAAAAGTTGGTAACAACAACTTGAATAGAGAACTATCAATGGGAAATCGAGGATGTGGTTCAAATAATGACAACAGGGAAAGATTGAGCGACTTCTGCACGGCGAATAGACTTGTTATAGGAGGAACACTATTTCCTCACAAGAATATACACAAGCTTACATGGGTATCCCCAAACAGAAGAGATGTAAACCAGATCGACCATTTCATGGTAAACAGAAAATGACGTAGGTCCCTACTCGATGTGCGTGTCAAAAGGGGAGCAGATGTGGGAAGCGATCATCACCTTGTAGTCGCTCTACTACGACTTAAACTCAAAAAAGTTTACACGCAAGTTAAGACACAGACAGCACGTTACAATGTTAACCTTTTAAGAGAAAAAGACATTGCCACTAAATTTATAGTAGAACTTAATAATAGATTTCAAACCTATCAAGTGACCCAGAAACTCCAACTACAATCAGCATTCAAGACAGATGGAACCAGATCAAAGAAACATACAAATCAACTAGCAATAACATATTAGGAACCAGGAAACAACACCACAAAGAATGGATAAGTAGACAAACCATGGACTATATTGCCAAGCGAAAAAGAATAAAGAGCCTCATAAATCACACTAAATCAGAACGTCAGAAAGACAAACTAATGTTAGAATATAGCGAACTAAATAAAATGACCAAGAAAAGTGCCAGAGCTGACAAGAGAAGATTTATGGAAAATCTTGCAGAAACAGCAGAAAATGCTGCTAAAGCACATGATCTACAAACCCTAAACAAAATTACCCAGCAAATTTGCGGAAATAGAAACAATTATCACATCATACCCATCAGAGATAACCAAGGCAGACTGCTCACCACAGAACAAAAACAAGACATGCAGTGGACTAAACACTTCTCCGACCTCTTGAACAGACCTGATCCTGAAAATCCCCCAGATATTCAACCAGCCTCTCAGGACATTGACATTATTACTGAACCACCAAGCAAACAAGAAATCCTTAAAGCTATCCACACTTTAAAGAACAACAAAGCACCAAGCAAAGACGAACTGCCAGCAGAACTTCTTAAAGTAGATCCCAACACAACTGCTAGCATTCTAGAACCATTGTTCAAGGATATTTGGGAAAAAGAAGTGTTGCCTGATGACTGGACTGAAGGAACAATAGTCAAAATCCCTAAAAAAGGAGACTTAACAGATTGCAATAATTGGAGGGGAATTACTCTACTCTCAGTACCAAGCAAAATATTTTGAAAAATCATCATAATACGGCTTGAAAAAGGAGTAGATAAATGCCTACAAGTGGAACAAGCAGGATTCAAAAAGGGCAGAGGAACAACTGAGCACATCTTCGCCATACGTAACATTTTAGAACAATGCAACGAATGGCAGAGAAGTATATATATTAATTTTGTGGACTTTGAGAAAGCTTTTGACAGCGTCCATAGAGACGGTCTGTGGAAAATTTTACGACATTATGGAATTCTAGAAAAAATAGTCAACATAATTGCTCTCTTCTATAAAGACTTTTCCTGCAGTATAAAAAATTACAATACATCTTTCCCAGTAAAGATGGGTGTAAGACAGGGATGTGTTATGTCATCTCTCCTCTTTAACCTTGTGATTGATTGGATACTAAAGAACACAGTAGACAGGACATTAAGAGGCATACGATGGACTCCATTCACCATGCTTGAGGACCTTGATTTTGCAGATGATATAGCACTCCTATCACATAAACTTGAACATATACAAGAGAAAAGTAACAGACTAAACTGCACAGCAGAAATGGTGGGACTGAGAATAAATACAAAGAAAACTAAGATCATGACAAACAGTCCAAACCAACAACCAGTGACCATAAGTAACCAATCACTTGAAAATGTAGAACATTTCACATATCTTGGCAGTGTGGTGTCCCTACTGGGAGGGACATAGGAAGACATACAGTCACATCTGAACAAAGCTAGAGCTGCTTTTCGAAGGATGAGGCAAATCTAGAAATCCAACAATTACTGCAGAGGAACGAAACTCCAACTCTACAAGAGCATAATTTTGCCAGTTCTTCTTTATGGAGCGGAATGCTGGAGAATGACCAAAAAGGATGCACACAAGCTGTCCACCTTCCTCCACACATGTCTACGTAGAATTATCAAAATTTTCTGGCCAGATACAATCTCAAACACTAAACTACTTCAAGCCACAAACCAAGAAACTTTAGACAGTATGATTACCAAGAGAAGATGGAAATGGCTTGGCCACGTTATGAGAATGACTTCTGATATACCTGCCAAAACAGCTCTCACATGGACACCAGAGGGAAAGAGAAAACAGGGGCGCCCAAAAATAACATGGAGACGAACGATGGAAAGTGACCTGAGTGCTTCATCTTTGACATGGAAAACTGCACTGAAGATTGCACAGGACAGGAAAGCATGGAAAGTCCTCTCTGAAGCCTCATGTGCCACTAGGCATAACGAGAACTGATGATGATAAGTTAACCGTTAGATTATTGAATGACTTCCTTGAACTAAACTTATTCATAAAAGATGGCTTCCTTGTATTAAACTTATTTACAAAAAGTTATTTTCTTTAAGTAAACTTAATTTCTACTTCCTTGTACTAAACTTAAATTCTACTTCCTTTACTAAGCTTATTTATAAAGAGAGATTTAAACAATAGGGGAAAGAATGACTCAGCCCACCTAGCAAAACCATAATCTAGTAAGTATAGCATGCTGTTTATTTATTTCACACCACTTTAGCAACATCTGTAATAGGATCTTTGTAATCTGCAGGTCATTCTTCATCTGGTAGCTACAATCAATTGGAAATTTGCTAGTTGAGCCAAGGAGAGCCATGCGACCCAAATGGTTTACATGTGAACAAACCACTTCTAGTTGCTTTGTTCACAGTCACCGTTGTAATATTCCTAGTCTACAGATATGTGTCCAGGTAAGCTCATTCCATGGGAAAATGATACTTCGGCAAACAAGCCATACTCTTGCCTTTTAGGTCTCATTAAGACATGCAGTTCCACCTGTTTAGGAGAGAATATGTCAGCTACTGTGCTGAAGTATAATAATATGCATGCTACTATAGACAATGCTCATCCAGTAGTCTAACATGTCATCACTCTTATCATCTGCAATCAGGATGGAGTGATGCTGGGCCTCTTATCTGATTTTCTGCATCCAAGAAATCCACAGACAATACAGTCTGAGATTTGTATCCACAGATGAAATATTTTTTTCCTCTGCTTAGCATTTACCATCTGTAAACTCCAGCAGAAAGTTCTGTTTTGTGTGTGTTAAATTCTGGACAGTGATCTTGTTCCAAAACTTGAGTTTTGCCTGTACATCCATTCACAGAAGCAAGTCTGCTAAAGTTTTTACACATTGTTTGTTGATTATTCACGCTAAGGCAGATGCACTCTGACTTCGAAGGAAACAACTCTCATTAATCGCTGTTTATGATGTGCTTGTCAGGTGAGTCGGCATCTGTGGCTTAGGCATTGTGAACACACTTCGTAATGTGGCGTTTGATCCAAGCTGCAGGTGATTTGGCAGCAGATTGTCTTGCGTTAGTTTTTAACAGTGGTATGGAGAGCCAACTATTCAGGAGCAATGTCAAAATACTTCATATGAAATTGGCCTTGAAAACTGCCTGCTAAAAAATACTGGGGTTGGATCTGCAACGTTCTGTGAAGCATCTGCACCGTTTTGTGAAGGATCTGCAACATTCATTGAAGGATCTGCACCATTATGTGAAGGATCTGCAATGTTCTGTGAAGAATCTGCAACATTTGTGAAGTGTCTACAACGTTCCATGAAGAATATGCACCGTTACATGAAGGATCTACAATGGTCCGCGAAAAATCTGCAACATTCCGTGAAGGATCTGCAACATTCCGTGAAGGATCTGCAACATTCTGTAAGGATCTGTGACCTTCCGTGAAGGATCTGCAACATTACGCGAAGGATATGCAACGTTCCGTGAAGGATATGCAACTAACTTTGTTATGAGAGCAGTAAGATTATTTTTCCCTTCGAAATAGTGCTGTCCCCACAGACTGTGCAGATTAGGATTTTGTATATTTGATAATATTGATGTTAGGTTTCAATACCATACTCAAAGTTATGTGAAACTAAAGAGGGCTTTCTTATCTAGGCTTGGAAACAACCGAAAAAGGCTTGGGGGAGGGGATGAGGTGGGAACAAGCCAGGATAAAAAAGAGAGTGTGTTTATCATGTTCCTAGCTCCTCTACTCACTCTGTGAAACATTACTGCTACAGAAACTCACAGGAAATGAGCTGCATGTGTCATATAAAGCAATACAACAGGCATTGGAAAAGCTTACATTTTACCAAACTTAAATGTTATTTCTTGACCCCTGTTATCATATTGTTCGTGTAATTTACATGTGAAAATTGTATGCTTGTGTTTGTGTGTTTCACATACATACAGATCCACCATGGCAGCTGATAACCTAGAGGCATTGCCAGAATTAACTGAAGAAAAGGAAAGTTCCTTAAAGAAAGAAGCCAAGAAGATCGATATCAAAGTGGGAGATACAGTAAGTTAAGCTCTTTCAAAATTTTATTTTCAGTCGTAATGTTCATTTTGCCTCATTTGGGTTCTGGAGCCCCATTTGTGGGAGGGGTCTGAGGGGTTCACACCCACTGCCTGTTGACCCACAAGCATGTTGTAAAAGCAGCTACGAGGGGAAGTCAGTAAGTAATTCACACATGGTTGTTTGAAATTTAAAAAAAAAAAAAAAAAGCTTAAGATGATGATAACTTGAAAATCATTTATTTTTACTCATATGCTGTCCCTTTATTTTTCTACATAATTTCCACCAACATTGAGGCACTTGTCCCATCGTTTTATCAGTCCTCCGAAATCTGCTGCATAGAACTGCCTGCTCTTTCTAAACCACATTTTCACTTCACATTCAACTTCTACATCATTCGTGAAATGTCTCCCGCCAAGGTGGGTTCTCAGTGGATCAATCATTTTCTTGAACCATCCTTTCTTCATTCTTTCATTCCTAACCTCTACCTTATTTTGTAATGTACCTCTGTACTCTATCTACAGAAAGATATTTAACCATGTGGATCATCAATTTCATTTATCAATCATACAAACATTGGTCTGCACACGCCCACAGTTAACATACGACAGAACTACCTGGTATTTGAAGAAACTATTTATTCTGTTATTAGTCTGTGTGTTCATAGCTGAATTCAATTCAGTTCAGTTTCAATTGTGACCACTTTCAGCTAAGGGACAGAAAGCATTGCTGCTTTCTGCCCTGTCTGCTATATTTGTGGTAACGTTTCTTGACTTCATCTCATCTAGTTTTTGATTGTGCTGTCTGGATTCTGTCGCTCTGTGTTTGTTTCTTTTCGTTTGGCTGTTCTCATATCTGGTTGGCCTTGTGCTGCGCTCCGGATTGTTGGGTTGGCTGTCTCATTGTCATGGCGGTTTCGGGTGGTTTTGATTGGCCGGTTGGTGTATCCAAGGAGTTGGGTCTGCTTGCCTTAAAAAGGACTAGCCGTTTTTTTTGCCTGGGAAGGCTAGCAACGGGTTATGGTGGGATCCGGCGTTGTTTCGGTGGTCTTCTTCTACCTTGGTTGTCTATCGCTGCTCATTCATGGGGTTTTGAGTGTTTTGGTGCTGGCGGTGTCGTCTCTGACATTAGTTTTTGTAGTGACGGTGTCGGCCGCGTTTGTCGTCAGGTTTTGGCATTAGGATCAGTTCTTCTGGTGGGGACCATGGTACATCGTCTTATGGCAAGTTTGGGTTGAAGTAGTCCAGATCGTCCATATCCTCCAGCTTCCTGTGTTGAGCCATTTGCAATGTTGCTTCGTCTGGGAACTGCCATGTCAGGGGCGTCAACACTTTCTTGTCTGGAACTACACTTGTCTTTTTGGGAGGCTCGGTTCTTTGGGGATTGGGTGATTGTATTTGCTGCTTCTTTCCTCCATCACTCTGTTAGTTGCTTGGAGCTCCTTGCTCAAACGGGTGTTTTCTTCGTTTGCTTTCTGCAACTTTTTCACTGTCTCTACAAGAGCTTTCTTAATCGTTGTGACTTCGGTCGCGAGCAGCAGCTGGTCTCCTCGCAATCCTGTGAGACTGATCTCCTTTTTCTGCACTTGGGTTATCTGCACCTTCTGTGTCTGGATGACGGCGAGGAATGCCATGATGTCGTCCTTGAATTTCGCCATGTCTGCTTCCATCCACTTCTGGGTTTCGAGAGACGCCTGCATGTTGCTTCTCTGACCTGTGACTTCATCCCTTTCTTTATCTAGTTGGAATTTGGAGGCTACTTTCTTTTCACTGAGAGCCTGGATCTCACCTTTATCCAGCTTTGTCCAGTTTGGAGGTGATTGCTGATGCGACGCCTTTGGGTGCCTCATGTCTCCAGCAGGCCTCGTGATATAGGATGTTCTCCCGAGTGGCCATGGTTGTTATGTCTCGGCTCTGGTGGAGATAGGAGCACCCTAGGTACCTGGCGCTGTGCTGGCCAGAGCAGTTTGCACACTTTCTGCTAGGATTTGGTTATCTAAAGTCTTTGTGCAGCTTTGCCAGGGGGCAGTCACCGAAAGCATGTTGCTTGCGAACAGTACCTGCAGATTTTGTGTTCGCTCACACAAGTGGAGCGGGAGTGCCAGGCTTTCTGACAACGGGAGCACTGGAGCACCTGGGGCACATACTGTTCTGGTCTCTGTATCCCCTGGTACAGGTAAACTTGATCCGGGTTGTCTCCGCCCTCTGTTGTTATCACTGCAACTGGCAATGGGTGGATTTTTTAGCCGAGTTTCTCCGCTTTGTTAAATCTCTAGCATTCCCAAAATTAGTTGTTGGATTTCATGAAATCCTGTATAGCTGCTCTTGTAGGCCTCACTGCTTTGTACAGAGACATTAGCAGAGCAGAGACCTTCAAGCAGTTACTTCCGTTTGTTGAAAAAGGCTAAAGATCAACAGCATTTTTCTAAAGAAGCACTGTTAAATATAAGGTGTGAATTTTAAAAATATATATATAATGAAGCAGTGGATGTGTTTGTGTTGACAGGTAGTGAAGATTCATGTAGAACAAGTTGTCAAAGATAGCAAACCAAAGTTGGATGTGCTGTTCCTCCATGGAGCTTCATTTTCCTCACAAAATTGGCTGGACATCAAATCACTTGAACATGTCGCCAGTTGGGGTTACAGAGCCATAGCCATAGATTTGCCAGGTAATTTCATTCTTTAAATTAACATTTTGATTCAGAATTCTCAAACAGCTTATAAATTTGACAAGTTAACATTGTTGCAAAGCCACCTCATGTTGTGAGATTTAAAAAAAATTAAAAAAAAAAATTTCTGGTAACATTAAAGCCTATATCACCCAGTATTTCCAAGGACCTTTGTAACAAGGAAAATATCAAGCTTGTGCTGAAGCAGTAGATGAGATTTCAACAGACAGCTCAGCTCATACTTACACTATGCCTATGCCAGTGAAAATCACACACAAAGCCCCTCAGTGTCCCATTTGAAACTAGTGGACAAACAAATAATCCCAAAACTCACACATATGGTAATATGCAGCATAAGACAGCCGCTAGAGATGCCAGAACCAACGGTCACCATTAAAATTGAATTTTGTCATTGGTAGAAGTAAGTAGTCAGTGATAACAAGCTGGCCATACACACAGAGTTACTGTATACAGTATTTTGTGAGCATTGTGAACCAGCAAAAAGCAAATCAGCTCTACGCAATTTTCTGAAAATTATGCCACAACCACTGTAGGCACACATGCAAGGTATTCCACCTGAAACACACAGCTCACTGTGCTGCACCAAACACTTTGATCTTAGGCAGTGGCTTTGTGTTCATTCTTTGAGTGATCAGTGCAACCAGCTACAAGGACACGCTAAATGAACCAAACCAACAAGAACAAGTGAGCCAGCATGTTTTCTTGCTGTGTGATTGCATGACAGAGCTTGTCCACAGATTGTGAACATTGTACAGGAAGCTTTAGCGCAGAAGAGGTCAGAGGTTATGACACACTCCTTTACATTCTTGATTACTGCCATTTGTCTTTAACTTTTTGAGTCCCAGAGGGTTTAGCATCACAGGCCCAAGGAGCTAGTCAAGAAAGACGTAAAATCGGCGCATTATGCGTTCATTGGGCTTCTAGGCTGTAACCTATGAACGTATGGTACGTTCGTCGGGAAGAATGGACATATCCTGCCTAACCAGTTACTATCTCAATGTTAAGACAGATATATGTGTCCTTGACTTTCTACAGCTGATATCTATTGGGTTACATACTTGTGGCTCCAACTTTTGTCTTTTTTAGAGTTGTCTCCACTTTCTAAAAGCACTCTTCATTGGCTATTTGTATTTTGCTTGGCTTGCTTGCTCCCAACAGTTTACCCCCAACATGAGAGTTGTTTCCCTGCACCCCACATCTGCCTGACACAAATTGCATTGGAACTTTGTATTATTTCTGGTTTTCAGGAGCCAAATTACAGATAGTATTTTTAAAAGAGGGAATCAAATCTTTGAAAAAGTAAACAAATGCAGTCAAGAACAAGCAGGCTACAGTGACTCACAACATTTGGTACAATTTCTATTCATTCTAACACAACTGTCTCCATGGTGAAGTGGTCAGGCCGTTTGTATCGCACTGTGAAGGCAATGGGTTTGATTCATGGCTGTATCGTTTGGTTCACGAAGATCCCTGGGAATCATAGTTGAAGCTTTGGAGTTTGTACTTTGTGTGATGCTGGCTGCAGGGGGCAAGCCATTCTGCATAGAGACAGCTGTATGGGTTCAAACCTGATGCAGTCAAGTGGATCCTCTCAGCTTTAACAGCTGTAGTGTTAGTATCAGATTTTGTTATTATCCTTGTTATACCACATCCCTACAGTCATCCTCTGTTTTCTTGACTTAGGCGGAAACAAGAGCCCTGTTGATTTAAGCTCATCTCTTAAGGGCAAGTTCTTGGATGAATTCATCAGAACAATGGAAATGAAGAACATTGTCATCATTGCACCATCAGCTAGTGGCAGCTATGCTCTGCCTTATTTGTTTAACGGTACCAGCTTGAGCATAGATAGTGTCTTGGGATTTGTTCCTATGGCACCCGTTGGAACATCACATTTTAGAGAGAAATTTACCACCAGTAAGGTATGATCTTCATTTTGTACGTTTTATGTTTATCACTAAAAAATACCCTTCTCCACGCCTTCAGTCGTGTTGGGCATATAGGGTTAGACCTATATCATCTTGTGCCGATTGGTCTATTAAAATATAGGTCTAGCCCTATATGCCCTATACACCTAAACGCGTGGAAAAAGGTCCTTTACTTTGCTTATATATTTATATCCAAGCTTACTAAATGCAGTGCAGGCATGAACATAACCAGTAACATTAAACTAGGCTTCTTGTAATTTGGTCTTCGCAGAAAGTCACTGCAGAGATCTTTATGTGTATTTGGCAGCAATGGAAAAGCCAGGTTTGGGGCCTACCAGGGCGGAAGGGTTGAAGAAATGAAGATCAGCTTACAAAATGGATTAGACAAAAGAACACAGAAGATCCTCAATTCGGTGACTGGAGGAAGGGAAGAAGAAGAACATATAAATTAAATTTTTTTTTTGTGTATTTACAGTGGTGTTAAAAATGTATTCCACATGGCAATGGTCTTGTGTAAGAATTAATTTTTTTCCTACAGTCCATGCCAAGTGTTAATGGTAATCTGTCTGCAGGAACGACAGTCATTTTTAAATGGTTCTGCATGCTGTGTGCCATAATGTCTGTTTTCTCCCTGCTTTTATTTTTTTTTTTTTAATTGTTAAATGTATTCCAATGTTCCTCTTCTCATGACTTGCCCCAAAATGTTGAATGTCTTTTCCTGGCGTGGGAAACAATTTCTCTTCCTAAAAAGCCAGATGCGTAATATGAATGTGCACACAACACTGAAGGTCTGGACCAAGATCAAAGTCTAGAAGTGAATGAATAACCATAACTTTCCGCTAGAGTTTACAGTCTATGAACACTAAGGAGAAGAAGAATTTCTTTCAAGATACCTTCATTGTGCTTTTTGTCTTTCAGAAGTGTTCTTTTCATTCCTCTTTATAACACAATTTATGCAGATTCTTTATAATTTCTTTCTCATCTTCTGACTTTTCATGAATCACTTATCAATTATAGACTTACATTCTGTTTTCCTGGCATCTGTGGGGAGCTCTGTCAATCTTGACTGATCAGTACCGTCCTTCTGTGTCGTGAATGGGGACTGAAGGATTTGAAGTGATTCACCTAAAAAAACTGAAACCAAAGAATGTTGATTACGCAGATTGTTTAATGTTTAGCTCTTTGAGTCCCAAAGAACGTATCATACGTTCATAGGTTCCCGCCCAGAGGCCCAATGAACGCAAGATGCGCCGATTTTACATCTCTTTTGACTACCCCTTGGGCCCCTGATGCTAAACCCCCTGGGACTCAAAGAGTTAATTAAGAATTGACAACACAGCACTCAGGAAATTCCCATAAGCACTCCGCCCCCATCTTCAGCAGCAAGCACAGAATTCCAATTCCAGTGGTACCAAAAGAAGTCTGATTAGATATTCATCTCATCTTTTCCTTGAGTGCTGATTGTCGACCGGATCCTCTGTTTACTCCTCGTAGTATCGTTCTCATCAGACCATGATGATCCAACCTGCACTCGTAGAAAAGATGTGGACGTACTGCTCCCAAAATCCTCTATTTGTCCTACCTCTCTAATGGCTGTAACAATGTCTGCATGATCCATGAACCGGTCCTATATAACTAAGGCAGAGCCAGCTAATCTGTCAGCTCTTTCATTGGCAACAACATCTGCAAGCCCTGGGACAAAGATGAAGGTAACTACATGCAGTGCAGTTTTGCAATCACTTGATCTACTGTCTGTGTACAAAGCCCGCCTCGACCCGCCAGATCACACTGATGGAATCACTCACTCTCTCTCTCTGTCTCTCTCTCTCACACACACACACACACACACATGAGCGTGCACACACACACATGCACGCACGCACACATGCATGCCTGTGTGTGTTTGATTATAGCCATGCGATGCTAGCCACATGAAAGCTCATGTTACCACCATCACCTCCATTGTCATGCTGCTAGTAGTCATACCGAAGGCACCACCTAATTCCTGGGATGTTCTGCCTGCAGAGCATGCAGTTATTGCCTATGTAATTTTTGTGTGCATGTACAACGGACCCATCTGTGTAGATCAGTTCATCTGAGTCATCTGAATGTTCACATATAAGGACATGGACCTCTGCAGTGACAGCAACTGGATTCTGCTCCTAACAGATCCCATCAAGCGTGACAACACAGGAACAGGTGCAGTTGAGCACCTGGGGCACAGGTATCCATTCTTCACCGAGGTAGATGTCTGTAAGACTGCAGACCTGTATGATATCATCCTCTAACCTAACGAGCCCTGATTTTGCCCTTTTTCCTAAAGAGAACATTGCGCTGATGATGCTTCAAACCTGAGGTTATCTTCGGGTATGCACGAGTCCTCCAGATCTTTATCCTATGGTGTATTGTCGGAATGTCAAGGTGATATCTCATTGCTACGCAAGAGGTGTCTCATGTGCACCCTAGAACAATGCACACCTGTTCCAGTCTTTCACTATGAGTATCACTGACGTTAAGTATGGCTCAAGCATATTTGATTTGAGAAAGAACCAGTCCTTGGAACAGTAGCAGAAGCAGTCTCTCATCGATGTTGGTGATGCCGGGACCCTCATTGCTGATAAGTTGATTTACAGTTGTGACATGTGTATACAGCTGATTCTCAGGCCAGTGAAAGGCTGCAGTTACTGCCTCCACCTCCATTCTCAGTCTAGATGTTGTAGTGTCATATGTCAGGCTTTGTTGCACTAACTGTTGCACTAAGCAACATCCATTCACTTTCGGTAAGAACCCCCATAAGCTTCATCTGCCTCTCAGCACAGATAATCACATCACCTGGGTTGGAATTGTCATGACTCAGTTTTTGAACTTCTGATTCAGCAGAGCGTACTGGCCGGTCTCTGCACTCACAGCCCAGTGTAGTAAGAGCCATGCACATCTCTGACATTTGTTGGGACATTCTGGCCCAATGTTTTCAAGCCTGCACACGTCTAATTGTGTCTTCAGCTTTCGCAATCCAATACCTTCATCTTTTCAGTCTGTGACCCTTATCTCTGACTTGGGCTTCATTCAGAAGGAGTTTCTCACCTGCTGCTGCTCTGAGATCTAGTTTGAGAATGGAGGTGGAGGCAGTCTCTGCTGCTTTTTGCTGGCTTGAGAATCAGCTGTACACACATGCCGTGATTGTAACTGACTCACAGAACATGTTGAGAAGGGTGGAGACAGGCATGCTCTATGCAGAGTGGCAAGCATCACTTCAGAGGTCCTGGGTAGTTAGCATCCTTTGGAAATTGTCTCCAGGTAATGCCGGAAATGAGCAGGCGGATAGACTGGCCGGTTCTGCACCACTTGGTGGTGAACTGATGTACGACAAGCTTGATGTTGTGAGGGCTCTTTGGGAGCGATTGAACATTGAGGAGGCACAGATAGATCATTACGGTGTGGGGAGAATCACGCTGTGAGGAGTTACAAGGGGTTTTGACCGGCTCTTAACACTCAGGGGAAAGGCGAGACGGATCGACAGTCAGACAGTTACTGGTGCATAGAAATTGGAAAACTTCGCTTGCTGCTGTAGATAAGGATGAAGTGCTTATGTGAGTGTCCCAACTTCTAAAGCTGATTTGCTCACTTGCACTATAGAGAGCTATTTGGCTCCTAAGCCATACCTTGGATATCAAATCGAATCAAATGGGTAAAACATTTGACAGATGCTTAGCATTTAAAAAACACGTAGACCACATTATAACCAAAGACAAGAAAGGTCTCTCCGCAATAAAAGTTATGGGAGCTGCAAACTTTGAGCAACGGCTACTTGTAATGTTGTATCGTGCGTTAGTTCTCTCCACCATTGAATATGCCTTGGCCATCATGACAGTAAGCACCACACAGATGAACAGACTGGAAGAAAATTGAAAATGAGGCAATGCGTATTATTCTTGGATGCACTAGAGACACCTCTTGTAAATCCATGCGATACCTCCTTGATTTCCCCACAATGGAAAACAGAATCAAGCTATCCAGGGCTGTTGCTTTCCTCAAAGTGAAGTCAGACCATGGACACCCACTTTATGAGGAATTATTTAAGCAAAAATTAATAAACACGCCAAATTCTGGATGGGTCGAAATGAGGACGCCATCGAACATGTTTGCCGCCTTACTGACATTAATTTTGGAATTGAATGGATAATTATGCCTCCCTCTTCAAACATTAATATTACAATCCATATCACACATGATGGAAACTATAGAGAGCAGATTCCTGGCATTGTTGACACTTTAGTCAGAACACTGATTGATGAAAACACAGATGAAGGTGATGCTGTAGTTTACACAGATGGGTCAGTAATTAGGGGCAAGCTAAGTGCATGGGCCTTCACAGTAAGCTCAAGGGAGAAAACCAGCAAGGATATGAATGGCACCTTTGCTGTTACAACTAGTAGCCTTACAATGGAAACTATGGCTGTCATAAAGGCACTAGCATGGCTTGGTATTCAAGAGTTCACACACGTATGCACTTAGTGACTCGATGAATATGCTTAAAAGAATCTAAGCTAGATTTATCAGGCAAAAATGGATTGTAACAATAAGCACTTCAAGAATATCTGCCCTAACCTTCATCTTTGTGCCAGGTCATGTGGGTGTTCAAGAGAATGAGCGTGCAGACTATCTTGCTGACACTGTGGTTGCTATGGCTGGCCCAGTACTGGACAGAAGCGATGTTATCAATGCCATGCGCAGCAATTACTGTGACGACGAGCACACTAAAGGACGTGACTCCATATCCCTATCTAGTCTGGTGAACATGAAGGTGCAACCTGGAGCTGCAAGAAATAAACATTTCACTAAGGGGACAGGACGGTTTTATTAACCAACACATGACAGGCGTCATCAGCCGTTTTACACTTGTGGAGCTTTTGAGGAGGAGATTGGAACACCCATGGATCTGTCTGGAGTGCTGTGATGATAATCCTTACCAATCACTAATATAGGCATACCTGACTCTGTCTGGTCCCGGCACAGTCTTTTGTTTTCTGCAAGATGTGTTTATATCATCCCCATTATAATCTCCTGATAGCACTTATCATGAATAGTATTGGTTCTATTATCCCTGCATTCCCTATCATATGGTGAGTTTGTGCTATAAATATCTGCAAAAATGATTAGGCAGATTTTACTTGTGATTTCCCAGACATGAGTAGTCTGACTACAAGAGATGAATATACAACAGAAACTGCAACTTCCAATAGATGCAAGAGCAGTGTGCAATACAGGAGAACATTTTTAACATCTTCAGGTCAAATTGTTCATTTTCTCATGTGTCTGGTTCACAGCTTTAACCTGTTTGTTATGTGCCTTTTGTTTTCTGTTCAGGTACAGACATTGATTGTATATGGCTCAAAGGATACTCAGAGAGCTTCTGTATTCTTACCTGACCTTGAACTCATACCAAATCACACAGTTGCAAAGATAGAGGATGCTGGACATGCTTGCTATCTGAATAAGCCTGAAGCCTTTCATAAAGTGTTGTTTCACTTTTTGAAAAACCTGGCACCCTAAGAAGTCTTGTAAGTTTATTTCTGAATCTGTATATTGAACAATTTCTGTATATTGAACGATTTCTGAATCTGTATATTGAACAATTTCTGAATCTGTATATTGAACAAAGAAAGGTGTAGTTTGTGGACTGTTGTTAAAGGCATATGGGAAAGGTAAATGCCATTGTGCTGGGATATAAAGGGATAACCTATAGATCACTTCAGGAACCAGCATTATCTGTGCTGCCTTATCAAACACACACGTAACAGCACAGAAATCATGTGATAATGACAAACAGCACATTTTTGCTGAGTCTGTTCACCAGAAAGATTGAAAACAAATAAAATGAGAGTTATAAATAAACTAAGAACATTTATTAATTGATACCTATGCAGAATATAATGAATACATTGGTTAGATAGAAACACTGTAGTTTATCATTCAATCAGGGGCCATCTCCACAGTGAAAGTTGGCTTCAATAAGTCTCCATCACGCTTGGGTGTGGGGGAGGGGGGCTGAATTACACTCTCTCAGACAGCTGTTCCTATATCTCCCTTTTGTATTTCTATGTGCTTCTTGTTTGCTTGCCTTCAACTTTTCCCTATATCATGAAATTTTTTCGTAAGAGTGTTATGTCTTTTGACATAGTTTATTTTTATCTTTCATTTCACTCAGCAACTCTCATTTCATTCCTGTCTCTTCCAGATTTAGTTAATGGGAGAACTAAACAGTTCCAGTAAATCTAGAGGTAAAGTCACTGGTTTTGAGAAGGACACAAATTGAGGAAACCTGATCATAATACAACCAGAATACCCTTTTACTCTTGAAAAAAATAGATGGCGGACCTTAAAATATATGGAGACAAGAATTATGGACAGAGATTTGATCATATGTGAAGGACATGGTTTGTGGGTGACAGCAAAAGATAGGATTGCTTGGTGTGGGCTGGTTGAGAGGCAGTACTCCATCACAGACAGAAAAAAGTCAGTGTTGATATCATGGAAACAAGAAGAGCCAATGTACACAACACAGTCAGAGAAGATACAGCTCATAGATCATGGCTACAAAAAGAAAGAAGTGTGGATGAGAAAGAGCACCTGCTCTCACTTCATGATAAAGAAATTAATAAAATAAAAGTTATACTGTCAAATACAGTTTATTTGAGTAACTAATAATGCCTAATAATTTTTGTGTAATGTTGAGAATTTTACATTCTGGTAATATGTATGTGTGTGTGTGTGTGTGTGTGTGTGTGCGCGCTTACTTGCATGCCTGCGTATGTTGTTGTTGAGAGTCTTACTGTAAAGTCTGTAACAGTTTTAATATTTAATATTTTGCTTGTTAAATAATTGCAGACTGGTGTCACCATGACTCATCAAGATTCCTAGAGGAAGTTCATTTACAGCGTCATTCATCAAACCTGAAATCCAGTTGACAGAATATATCAGCCACATCGATCAGAGTATTGGATCAGTGCAGTCTGTGTCCAAGATTTTGCTGTAAATTCTAAAACGTGACAGATCCTATTTATGAGCTGGATCTGCCATTCTATAAATACTCAGTTCCTAGCCCCCACCCATATTATTACAAATATCCTGTTCATACCAAAACCCGCTCTTATTTATAGTTTTTTACCTTTGAGTACAGGTCAGAACTTTACAAATGTTTCTTATTTATTGTGCTGTCCCTTTCTAGCAAACAGTTTCTCCTCTATAGTCACTATGACCTTTTTTCATTTTGTATTCTTTAACAAAACAATTAAGGAGCCAAACAACAGTTTGATAAAGTAACCAGGAACAATAGCAAACTTACTCTTCACTGTTGAAGTCTGATAAACCACTGATGAAGTTAAGAGCGTCAGTTAACAGGATTGTGGGAAATCCGCACTTTGATATCTCAGCCTGTATTATGCATGTGTGAGGAATGGTTGCAATCACTTGGTAAAGTATATTATTCCTTGTTTCATTAGCAAGAATTTACATTTTATATTTTAACAGGATCAGATAATAAAAAGTGTGGATAATCCCAGTGCAGATAACAAGGTTTTACTGTACTTGTCAGTTAGTGCTTAACGGGGATTATCATCACAGCACTGCAGACAGATTCATCTGTGCTGCCATCTCCTCCTCACCAATCCTTGACTGCCTTCAGCGGCTTTCTTCCTCTATTTCCTCTGTTTTCAAGTGTTTTCGGTCTCCTATTTATGTTTTTTTCTGTGAGTTTTTAAAAAAACACACACACACAATTTTTATGTTTATACGAACTGATTTTCTCAATGTCAGTTCTGTCCCATGTCAGTTCTGTCCAATGTCAGTTCTGTCCAATGTCAGTTCTGTCCGATGTCAGTTCTGTCCAATGTCAGTTCTGTCCAATGTCAGTTCTGTCCAATGTCAGTTCTGACCAATGTCAGTTCTGTCCAATGTCAGTTCTGTCTGATGTCGGTTCTGTCTGATGTCAGTTCTGTCCAGTGTCAGTTCTGTCTAATGTCAGTTCTGTCTGATGTCAGTTCTGTCCAATGTCAGTTCTGTCCAATGTCAGTATTTTTTCATCACGTGATTTCTTTGAGTTCATGAGCGCTCAGGCACCAGTTAAGAAAAGCTGACAATGATATGCCAGTGACCACAAAGAGCATTTGTGGAGAGATTTATAGCCCAGACTGATCATAATGACAGGGAACTTAAAAATTCAGTTAACACAATCTGTTTAATATTACAAGTGATAATTATTTTCAGGATAAAAACTAGGGTGAAGAATATCAAATATGTATTGTAAGAAGCTAAAGACATTGTGCTGGGGCCTGACAGAGTCAGGTATACCCATATGGAGATCATGAATGATGGAGACTTGAGGGAGATGGCTTTTCACTTCAAACAGAGCATCAGAACAGCTTCAGTACCCCAGGATTGGATACACAGCTACCTAATTCCACTTCCAAAACCAGGCAAAGATAATTCCTGACTCAGCGGTTTCAGAATTATCACCCTACAAAATACTTTTGACAAGGTGCTAGAGAAGATTATTGCTGTTAAACTACAAATGTTTTTGGAAGGGGAAAGTTCCTGCCAAAAGGTTTCAGTAGTTACCAGCCACGGAAAGATACATGGTCTAATGCAGCTACTTTTGCTTTTGATGTTTTTGAGTGGTTCCAGAACAGACAGGAGATGGTTGTGGCAGAACATGATCTTGCGGATGCCTACAATAGAGTCGGATATTGTATTTTGCTATCTGCACTCATGGAGAAGGTAGTGTGTCCTTGGCTGGTGAATGGATAGCATCTGTCCTGCATTCATGTATGGTAGCCCTTCACTCTGGTACATGGAACTCACAACCATGTAATATCGCCCCAGGACTATGCCTGGGTTCTGTAATTTCACCAGCGCTCTTCAAAGTGTGTACGTGCAAGACTGCAGAACTTGAAGCACCAGATGTTGGAAGGATATTGACTTTTACAGATGCGTTTTTACAAATAGGCGGAGGAGTGATAGGGAACAGCCCAAGAGCTACAGGCACCTGTAAACAAAGTGACTGACTGGTGTGCGAAGATGGGTGCTGTGATCAGCTGAAGAGGCAGCTGTTTCACTGTGCTGCCTGAATAGCTGATGTTCCAAGCCTCACAATAATTGACAGACACATCAAAAGAGAAAACAGACTGAGGTACATAGGTATCATTTTTAATTGTAGCCTGTCCTTCTGGGAACTTGTGGAGGCAGTTGTGGTGAAATGCCACAAAAGGACTCAATGCTCTCAAGGTTGTGGCAGGAATGGATATAGAACAAAGAATGCTGTTCACAATGTTCCAGGATGTGACCCTGTCAGTGATAGATTATGGTCGTGGAATGCTTACCATATCAAAGAGTCAGGTGATGAAACTTGAATGCATACAGAATGAAGACATGCTGGCAATTCTGGGATGTACAAGAGTTACCCCGGAAATATGTATGAGATATATACTTGCACTGCCAACTATTGCAGATAGGCTCAATGTTCTGAAAAGAGGAAGGTATTAGATGGCGCAAGATGAAGACACTATTAGAAAGTAGCTAGGCTTTTGTCGGTGTGTTGGAAAATGTAGACAAGCATGGAGATAAACTGGCCAGTTCTGCACCACTTGGTGGAGAATTGATGAATGACAAGCTGGATGTTGTGGGGGCCCTTTGGGAGCTAGTGAACAGTGCCGAGGCACAAATAGATCATTACCATTTGAGGAGAATGGCGCTGCAAGGAGTTACCAGGGGATCTGGCTGACGCCGAACACCCAAGGGAAAGGTGAGACGGATATACACTGAGCCTGCTATTAGTGCCACTGGAGTTGGAACTCTTCACTTGCTGAAGATGAAGACGGAGCGCATAGGAGTGTCTCGAGTGCTATGATGTCAATTCTTAATTCAGTATTCGACATCATACACCCAGGACATTCCTATAAATGCTCTGTACCCGTCTTCAGCAGCTAGCGGAGCTCCAGTTCCAGTGGTACCAGTAGCAGTCTCAATGTATATCCCTCTCCCCTTTCTTTTGAATGTTGAGTCTCGACCAGATCCCGTGATCACTTCTCGCAGTACCATTCTCTTCAGACCATGATGATCTGTCTGTGCTTCGGCACTGTTCACTCACTCCAAAGGGCCCTTACAACATTTAGCTCGTCGTGCATCAGTTCACTGCCAAGTTGTGTAGAACCAGCCATTCTATTTGCCTGTTTATTTCCTAATTCACCGGTATATCCTAGGGAAAATATCAGAAGGATACTAACTACCCGGAACCTCTGAAGCGATGCTGGCCATTCTTCATGGAGCATATCGGTCTCCACCTTTGTCAACATGCTGTATGAGTCGGTTACAATTATGACATGTGTTTACAGCTGATTCTTAAGCCAGCGAAAAGCTGCAGTGACTGCCTCCACTCCACCTCCATTCTCAAACTAGATGTTGTGGTGTCATATGCCAGGCTTTATTGCACTAAGTGACGTCCATTAACATTCAGTTACATTTCTGTTGACTCCCCCAGATTTTCTAGTGCTATGATG